CCTTAATTTTTTCAGCCCAGGCAAAAAAAAAAATCCCACCGCATGGAAGGCTCTGAGCTTCTGCAGCTGGAATGAACCAAGTGTGGCAGCAGCTCGGGGAGAGGAGAGGCGAGGAAAGGAGAGGAGAGGAGGGCTGGGGCTGGCGCGTCCCTCCCGGTGGCTGTCTCAGAGCCAGCTCCTCGGCAGCAGCACCACAACGCTCCTCGGGGGATTTATACTTCTTTATTAGCCACTTGATTAATCGTTCCCACAGCTTTGTCCTCTTCTAAACGCTGGGGAGGGGGGAGAAGAGAGGGGGTCGCGGAGAGGGGCCGCCAAAGGGATCTGTGCTATCCCCCCCAAACCCAGCACCATCCTCCCCACCAGGACCAGAGCCCACAAATTAGGCTTTGGCGGCGTGTTTATTTTTACGTACTACAGGTTTCTCGCCGAGGAACCGGGTCCCCCAGCCCCCCATTTCACACGGAGTCTGGCACAGACACCCCCCCACCCCCCCAGAGCATCGCTGCCATCGAGACATCCGCGGGCACAGACCCCCCGCAAACAACTTGAGGAGATCGACACGATTTTGGGGACGAGGCGAATTTTGTTACGAACGGATCCCAAAAGAGCCCTGACCCCTCCCAGCCTGTGGCTTGTCCTCCCAGCGGCTGATGCTGGTGGGACTGGTCCAGGGGCCCCGTGGAGGTGGGAAAGGCTGTGCCCCCTCCGCCGGGCTGGGCTGCGGTGCTGCTGCCCTGGCAGGGCTGGCAGAGCCGGGTCTCTCCACCACCACCTCCCCTTGTTTGTGTTTGAGCATCTCCCGGTACCTCGGTGCCCGGAGCTGCAGGCAAGATGGGGAAGGGAGGGAGGGAGGGGGGAAGGAAGGAACGCAACCGGTTAACGCCACATTCGGGAACTTCATTATCGTGCTAATGATGCTCTCACATCGAGGGACGAGGCGAACGACTCGAACGCCACACCAGAGCTCAAAATAAATAAATAAATAACCAAGAAAAAAAGACGCTCTGGAACAGTCGAGCATCCTCCCCCCTCCTCGGCAGCACCGGCTCCACGGCTCCCTGTGCGACAGGCTGGGAGCTGCCTCTCTCCCAAACCCTCGCAGGGGTGTTTACCAGCCCCACATGCCCCTCTCCAGCCCTGCAGCCCCCGGGTTTCCCCCTCTCCTGCCCGCCCCTCTCTCCCCCGGGATGCGGGGCCGGGCCGGTGCCCCCGCCGGGGTCGGGCCGTTCTCTCCCCCCCTCCCCCGGTTCTCCCCTGGCCAAACCGGGGGCTCCGCTCGCCACCCATCCCCCTGCTCCGGCTTTTGCATTTGCTGCAGTTTCTTGCTGCAAAAAAACCCCTTCTTCGCTCTTGTTCCGGCTGCCTTGAATGAGCTTATTTTGACGGCTAAAAACCAAATTATATCGAGGGCTCGCGAATCTGTCCCTCCACCCTCGGCTCAATCCTCCTTCTCTCTCCCTTTCCCTCCGTCCCCTCTGCATTTCAATCCTTCCACTGCCTACATCGTGAGCCGCTGCCAAGAGCCGAGGCAACCGAGGGCTGGCACATGAAAGAGTTGCTTTATGTCTGTTTAAGCTGCGGCTTCCATTCAAACAGCCCCGATTGTGCAAAAGGCACAGATCCGCCGAGAAAAGGCTCCCCCGGGGCAGGGGGACCGCACTCCACGGGCTGTCCCGCATCCAGAGATTCCCCCCCCCCCGAGACCCCCCAGCCCAATTTTGGCTGCAGCCGAAGATGTGCCTCGGTTGCTGCAGGGGCTGAGCCAGAGGCAGCCCCGCACCGAGAACGATCCACAGGCATAATAATAAAGGCGCTGAGGAGGCACAATCCCACTTTATTCCCGGGGAATCAAATCGTATCCATTTCAGAAATCCGGGGGTTCCTCGCTAATAAGTTTTCCTTCGCTTAAACCACCGAGATTTCAGGCGGAACTCTCCAAAAAAATCCTGCCTTTATTCACAAAACAGACAATTCCGAACAGAGCCCAAACCATCCCTGCAACCATCAGCGGTTCCAGCATCCCTGAAGGAAGGCTCTGCTTCCCAGCCCCGTTTCTAACCCCGAGCGCTCACTCCGCGTCCCACCTTGCCCAAAATCACCTCTCGGCTAACGAGAATTCCCGTTCTCCCGTGCGAACACCCACCGGGACACAAATCCTGCTCTGCAGTGCCACCCGCAGCCAGAGCCGGGCTGGGATGACTCTGCTGCCTCCAGCATTCCCTGCCTGACACATTCCTGCGGCTGCGATCCCACTTTTTTATCCTCCACTGACCACTGAGTCCCTCACCCCCACCAAAACCTGAGCTGTTTGTGATTCCTCCATCCCCGAGTCCCAGCTGTCACATCTCTGGATATTTGGAAGAAATTCCTCCCTGGGAGGGTGGGGAGGCCCTGGCACAGGTTGCCCAGAAAAGCTGTGGTGCCCCATCCCTGGGAGTGTCCAGGGATGTTGCTGAACAACCTGGGATAGCAGGAGCTGTCCCTGCCCTTGGAATTAAATGGATTTTAATGTCTCTTCCAACTCCAACCCCTGTGGGATCCAGTGATCACCTTTCCCAGGTGTAACCTGTTGGAACAAAGCCTGAGGGCACATCTGAGTATCCCAACGAGGCAAATCGTTCCCGCTTTTTCCCCCCTAAAACCGATTTTCTTTGGAAAAAAAAAAAAAAGTGTGTCCCGTGAAATCCGACTACTTCAAATTCTGAAGCACCACAAGCAGCTGCTGCATTCGCTTTCCCCACAACATTTAAAGAAAAGCAACCAACAACACATCAAAATATTTACAGGAAGAAGCAAAAGCGGCGTCAAAGGAGCAAAATTGAAAATTAAAGTGTTATAAGGAAGCTACTGTAAACAGCTGATCTGCACAAAGGAGAGCTGGATTTAGCACAGGGGAAAAAAAAAAATTATGCCAAATCGTGTTCTGCAGGACAAATAATGGGAAGAGAGGGAAGCTCTTGAGATTAATGGCAGAATATTGACTGGGTGCTCCTGAAATAGAAAAATTCAGAAATCCAGCTCCCAATCAACAAACATCGACACGGGTCTGGTTCTGAAAGCCCAAACAAACCATCACATGGACCTGGGAAAGTGCAAACAGAGATTTCAGCTTTAAAAAGTACCATTTCCCTGCTGAGGAAAAGGACAGCTCTCCAGAGGAACCCAGGGAAGAACAGGAGGGGAAGGCACAGCCTGTGGAGCCACCAGAGACAGGAATCCCACTGGAAAACGGGGCAGAAAGTTGTTCCTGCCCTCAGAAATAGCCCAACAATGCTCTATTTTCACATGCACGGTATAAACCTGTTGAGGGTCTATTCAAGAGAACATCTATCTTCCTTAAAAACAGGGGGGAAGCAGCATCCTACTAATTACAGTGATCCTAGGATTAGAGGTAATTGGATACATTTACAGTTTAGAATTTCCTAATTTTAGCTGTTTGGGAACCATACATGTATCCATAGTGTGTGCACAGAGCACCAGCCATTCCCTCCAGCTAAGAAGAGAAAATTGATAACACGTTAAATTACTGCACGTGGAAGGAGCAAACTGGAATTTAAATGGGAGCTTGGAACAGGGAAACACAACAGGCACTAATTGGGATTTGGAGCAGGTGAGCACGACAGGCACTTGGGTTTGCCCTAAAGGAGCACCAAATGGGGCAGCTTTGACAGCAACCCCCCTGGAAGGTTAATTGTGACCTTCCAGGACCTGAAGGGAGCTACAAGAAAGGTGGAGAGACTCTGTCTTGAAGGGTCTGGAGTGACAGGACAAGGGGAATGGCTTCAAACTGCCAGAGGGCAGGGGCAGAGGGATACTGGGGAGAAATCCTTCCCTGGGAGGGGGGGAGGCCCTGGCACAGGTTGCCCAGAGAAGCTGTGGCTGCCCCATCCCTGGGAGTGTCCAAGGCCAGGTTGGAGCAACCTGGGATAGGGGAAGGGGGTGGGACTGGATGATCTTCAACTTCCCTCCCAACCCAAACCATTCCAGGATTCCACAACTGACACCAACATTCCCTGAAGCATCTGGGAACAGGCAGAACCAAGGGGGCACACGCAGAACTCCTGCTTAGGTTCCTGGACCATATTTATCAGTCTGCAGATGTCAAACACGGGGAACTTCTCCTTTGCAACTCCCAGGGAGTTCTGAACTTTGGGCAAAGATTCTTGTTTCTTTCTCACAGTTTTATTCATTCTTATAGCCCAGGTAATTCCAGGTCCTGTGGGTCAGAGTTTAATGGCCCTGCCAGGAAATTTAGCTGCCAATTGCCAAGTTTGGGGCACTGCAGGACTGCAGCCTGGAAAAGCAACAGGTATTTTAAACAGATTCTGCTCACAGGCAAAGCATGTCCTTGTGACTGCAACTGTCAGAAGGAAGGAAGAAAGGAAGAAATTGTTTATTAATGCCTTTAACCTGGCTCTGTCTAACAGGAACTACTGCAACACTGAATGAAAAAAAAAAGCAATTAAAGATAGTTCAGGTACTGCAGATTTTCTACCACAGTGTGGCCAAGTCTGAGCTTCCCACCAGCTTCCATTTTTTTTTCCAACCATTCCAACCTTCCACAGCTTCAGGGAATAAAACAGACCCAAACTTTGTGAGGAGAGAGTAGAACACCCCCAGGCCTGCACTGGGGGCACAACCTGGTAATATTCTGGCAGCTGATTTCTGATTTGTAGGGGAGAGGGAGAAACCAGGTCACTGTCCTGCTCCAGCAAGTTCTGCTCAGTGGGACAGGGAGGGACAGCAAATCCTTCCCCCTGGATCTCCTTCCCAAAAAACCATCATGTAAAAAACCCACCCAAAAATGGCTAAAGGCTCCTCAGAGCTCCGTTAGCAGGAAGGG